ATAATGACTTATTGTAGGAAGCCTCTAACACAAAAGAATTATTTGAGCTGAACTAGTTCAAATGAAAATGAAAATAAAATTGTCATAAATAAGTTAAAAATATTATGAATATGTTAAAAATGTACTGTATAATGATTTTTTTTGTAAATATTATCTAGAAAATGTGCATAATAATTTTTAATAGAATGATGGTGTGAAATGGATAAGATCGCGCGCGTGTTCACTTTTGGAAAATAACTAATTATCTCTAAATTGATAATATCTATCGAAGCGATTGGCAATCTTTAGACGACCGTTTCTTCGGAATCTATGATCTGAATAGATACTTATATCGTGTAATGCGAACCGAGATCTCGTTATAAAAACCGACCGGTTGTTGCCCCGAAATTGAAGCCATTGAAATTCTGCGTGTCCTCCGATTCCGATATAATAAAGGTTATATCATATATACTCATATCCGATCATTAATGTTCTTCCGCGTGGAAGAAAAGTGCGCGTGGGATTTGAAAACTCCATCTATTTATCTACATGGAAAACGTTATTGCGTTTTTGAAATAACATGACTAGCTCTTGATGATATTGAGGTTTCCGGTACTTTTGCCTCTCATTAGCGTTCGCTAATTAATTAGCAATTAGGAGAATTGAAATTCTACTGACAAATGCGAAAACACGCGATCCAATGTTATTAATATTATCAAGTAAATTATTAAAATCGCGGAATTGTTATATTATTTATTTTATCGCGTCTATTATAATATTGTATTCTATATAATATTGTTATAGCATTTATTTACAAAATATTTTAGTAACACTATTTATCTATATACGTACAAAGAGTAAATAATTTCATTTATTCTATTTCGTAAAATAATTATAAAAATATTTAGATTAGATAAAATACAGTTAATATAAGCACTTTATCTTTACAAATTTAATTACTAGATACAAATTTAATTATTAGATACATACATGTAGATATAATTCAGATGATATATGATTATACATATATACATACGTATATATGTATAACTTAGTTGGTTATTATTCTAAATAAAAGGAAAAAAAACAAGTGATTGCATCAAGAATAAAACAAGTAGTTACATAACGCTATACTATTTGTACATATACTCGATTTTATAGCGTGATATAAGTATCAAAATGGCACGTGTACAACATATATGATAGTAACGATAATAGAATGATATAAAAGCGGCGAATGCTGCGCGCCGTCATAAAAATAGCGCTGGCTAGTCTCATTATCGGCTTGAATTACATGCTCCGCTCATCATATAATCACGACGATGTATCGCAATACAATACATCAGCAATCAGCATGCACACATTATTATAATAAAAAAAATTTTAGTTAAACCATAGACATTTTCTTTTTCGAGAAATTTTGAATAAAAATTATATACAAAGTGTTTTACGTAAAGTTTTACAAGATTTTCTATTTAAAATTATCAAAAACAATAAGACAAATTTTTACTAATTTTATAATCTATTGAGAAGAGCCGTCAACCCGAGGTGCAACGGATACAATGTACTCAAGTAGTCGTTTTGCAAGGATGGCTAACGACCGTCGACGTGTATTTAAAAGTAATTGTACAACCGATTTTCATATTGATTTTCATGTTGTAATCGTGGTAGGTTTTATTTGGATTTAATGAAAATTGGTATGGATCGTTTTAATGCGAAAGGATGGCGTAAACAGGTGGGACGCTTTGCAATAATTTTTGAAATGGCGCGTAACACTGCTGTTGAGATCTTTTGAGATATAATAGACAGGATATTATTTTGATCGTTGGAAAAAAAAGCAAAAAAAAACAATTCTAAATTTTTTAATGGAATAATAATGTAAATGTTCGCAGTTTTTGATAGATTTCTTTAAATTTTATGATATTTATTTAAAATATTTTTTCTTATGTTGCATAATTAAAAAGATTTTGACTTGACTTTTAAAGTATTTTTTTATAAAATTTTGAAAAATTTAAAGATAAAATTGTAAAAAAGGCATTTTTATTTTTTAGTATAATACTTATCATAGCTATAACTATGATATGTATGTGTGGAAAAGTTTTATTTTATTAAAAAATTCATAATTATAATTTCAAATTTTCAAAACTAACGTGAGAGTATTTTGCAATTTAAAAATTGTATTGTAAAATATTATAAGAAATAATTTTTTTCTTTGATTTTTTTTGTTAACTATTTATTATACATATGAATTTTTATATAATTTTTCTTATAGTAATAATGTATTCTTTTTTTGTTTTAGGTGATGCGATGGTGAGAATGCAGTGTCGCGGTATCACGTACTTTTCTTGAAAGTCAGTTAATTTTTTAATTAACCGTTTATTTATGTGATATATTTCTTTGGCATATTTTCGTGAGTGCTTAAAGCACGGTAAAAGTGCCTCGAGTGACCAGTTTTAAAAATCTGTGTTTGCAAAACGCCAATATATTGTAATGTTTAGTTTTCTTTGTGAATATCTCGAACTCTGGCCGATGGGAGATGTTTCGTAAGTGCAAGTTACAGCAACGGGAAAACTGCTGACCGCTCGATATAGATAACGCATACAATCGTAGAAAGTTACAGAAAAAATTTAAATGTAAATTGAATTTAAAATGCGAAGAATATAGATTAAAAAGTAGAAAATTTGAAAATAAAAACAATGATAACAAGGAGTCAAAGAACTTTAAAAAATAATAACAGACACATCCTTTGAATTACTGATTGACAATTAATTACAGTAAATTATGTTGGAAGATTTAAAAGGACAGAAAGCTTTTTAAAGAAAGTGTTCCGGAAAGATGACAAAAAATGTGATAGATTACTATTAAAGATCTATCATTGGAAGAGAAATACCGAGCGGTATCTAAGTGTGAAGAAGGATATTCAAGAAGAGTTTTTGTCATTAAGGGACAATATTCAAAGAAAGCATTATTGGACAATACAAACAATCAGTAGAGTTTCATATTACAAAAAGAAGATATAAGAAAATATTTAGAAGAAGATATTCAAAAGAAAAATATTCGAAAGAAATTGTAAGAGTCCAGTTAGTGAAGGATATACAGGAAAACCCACGATTTTAGCAAGAAAATATTGAGGGCAGTCCATTATTAATGGAACAAAAATATTCAAAAAGAAGAGTTATTAGCTGAAGGAGAAAAACCAGTTAAAAAATATATGATCAGAAAAATACAACATTGTGAAAAGAAATAGTCATCATGATTCTTTATTGAAGGAAGAGGGGACCAATAAAGACGTCAATAAAAACCTTTTGTTGCCAAAGAAGAATGCAAAAAAATATTTGTTGACAAAAATAGATTGTAAAAAACAATTGATAGAAAAACATAGAGAAAGATTATCGTCACCAAAAGATATCCGAAGGAATATAACTAGTGAGATCTCCCAATTGACAATGAAAAATATTGATGAAACTAAATTATTCCTAAAGAAATACATTCAAGAAAATTTATAGCTGATAAGAAATAATATTAAAAAGAGTCAATATTTAATAAATAAAAGTGTGGTCGGCAATTTGCTATTAGCAAAAAGAAATTTCAATTGGTTTACTAATGCAATTAACAAAAATAAACATACAAAAATATTTTAAATTATCAAAGATAGATAAGATGTCTTTGAAGAAAACATATTTTTAATAAAGAAAAATTTTCATAAAACTTTACAATTAACACCCAAAAATTCTTTATCACAGAGAAAAAGACATTCCTAAATGATCCAAAATTACAATTAATAGGAAGAATTATCCAAAATGACTCTTTTCTAAAGATTCTTATATCTTGAAAAAGAAAAAGATATTCTTGTAATTCCACAATCACAGTTAATAAAAAGGGGCATCTCAAAAAATCTTTTGTGTTGGGCCCTTATTCTCCTAGAAAAATTATTTTTTTTAGCTAAGCAAGATATTTCTTTTTTTAAAGAAGGACAAGGCATTTCTGAAAAAATGTATTATCGCAATTAAAGAAAAACATTGTTCAGAATAATTTTTCTTGGTCGGAACAATTTTTTTTTCGAAGTTTAAGATATATTTTTTCAATTAAGGAAAAAGAAGAGCTATTATAACTAACAAGAAGAAGAACCATCTAGAACAATTTTTTAGTGAAAAGAAAACTGTTAATTATTACTGATGATCAAGCAGCATCCATCCTTTCTATAAGACTTCAACAAATTAAAAGAGATTCAATATGTTTCCCTTATCAATCTATCGTTTATAAACGCTATCCTCCAAAAGATATTTATGTGGGAAGAAAGCGCGAAAAGGAAACAATAGTGTCTGCAAAGTCAAGCTATTACCTCCACTGGAAGAGGACTGGCAGGGTCAAGAGTCAACGGGATTTGATAACAGCGGGTCAGCTGATAAATGCGATTCGATCGTGAAATATAAATTTATGGTTCCAAATCATTATGCGAAGCATCAGTTGATCGCGAAAACACCAGAAGAACATATTAAGATCTTCAAGATTTTTTTTTGTTTTGAACAGCTAATAGACATTTCCGAAAAAGTTTTACTAGCTGACTCCATCGTGGAATCCATTGAAAGTGTGACAAAATGTTCGAATTTTGAAAAATATTCTAAGAAAAGCCCGAAGTATTTGTTAACTATCTATATATACAAAGAAAAAGACTGTCTTTCTGGTAGAAACTTAAAATGTTAAATCATCAAAGTGCAAGAATTTGAAAAAATATTGAAAGAACTAATAACTTATTAAGATAAAAGATTCTGAAGAAATCTTGACAAATCAAGTTACAAAAAAAGATATTAATAACTCGTTCACCTTGAAGATAATAGACCTTGAAACTTCATATCATCAATAATTAATTCAAAGAGATTTACAAAACCTCTTTGAATTATTCCTTATAAATCATTAATTTGCTAATTCTATAAATTTATAATTATTATACTATTAATATTTTGAAATAGATCATGAAAAAAAAGTATCTTAAAGAACCCACTTAATAAGATAAAGAATTCGATTACAAAGATAAAAAATTAAAAAAAATTTATTCGTTAAGATATATGCTCACACATTGAAAAAAGTCGATAATCTTGAAGTTTTAAATAATCAACGATTGATTAAAAAATCGTTTTTATATATTGTCAATCGGATAATTCACAGTTGCCATTAATTGAGCAAAAGTTATTGGAGAGGGAGAAGATACATAGAACGATCAGCAAGAAGCCTAATAAAAATACTAAAATGAGACTAAATGTTAGACTTATCCGTATTCGTGACAAGTTGGTTCTATGTTTGAGCGCGCTTGCCATCGTGTTCACGTTATTGTTAGTGATGGATTTACAAATGGACTTGGGCTACAGTGGCCATCATTTGAATCCCAGCCATGCTCGAGTTCGAATCGGTGATCTGCCGGAGACTGATACCATTTACAACAATTTCCGTCGGAAATTTCTTCAACGAGGTAACGGCAGTCGCGAACAGACTAATAACGACGTAACGCCCATCATTGAAAAATCAAAGAAAAGCGGGATAATGTCATTGTCATCAATAAAAAAGCACGATGATTTTTCGGATTTGATGGACTTGGTAGTGAACGGGTATGCAGTAAACGTTGATGAAGGAGTGGCAATAATTAGCAGAGAGGACAGAGAATATAATCCGACGATCGGAGAATTGAGAAAGATGACATTGAAGTGAGTATAACGAATTTGACGAAATTAAGTAAATATTTTTATCATATAGTACAAATATTATATAAAAAATGCCAATATTTGTAAAAAAGATCTTAGACATTACATTTTACGAAAAATTGAATCCATATAAGAAACGTATGTTATATTATGCTTTGACTTTTATGTTTCTTAAATATTCTTTTCATTTT